TCCCCACTCTGCACTCCCCCTCATTCACAATGCTATGATTTTTTTTTTTTCCCTTTGATGCCTGATACCTGATCCCTTCAACACCTTGTGATCTCACAGGCCATTGTGCTTCTTCCATGTGGGCTTTGTTGTTTCTCAGTTAGATGGCCCTGGCTAGCTCAGTTCTATTAACATTAAATTAGAAGAGGTCAGGTTTAGTTGTATAGTCTCAGGGTATGAAGCTTTCAATGTCTTAGAAATTATTCTAAGATCTTCTTTTTGTACCCCTTAGACTTTACAATCATTAACTTAAGCAGCTATTCAAAATGTAAAAGAATAATGTGTGGATACTTTATTCCCTTGAAATTTTTTCCACTTTCATTATTTATATAGGGGTTTTTTGTTCCTTTAATGAATATGATTTTGCTTAATGTTTCAGGATTTATTTCAGTAAGATTACTAAAAGTTTGAAAGTTATGCTAGTTTGATACAGATTCATATTTATGTATTTCTTGGGGTTTAATAAAAATACGAGATCAAATATTCTTTAGAAGGAATACCTAGCATAATGTAATTTATTTGGGCTGCTCTCTTACAAATATTTTTTTTCCTGTTTAGGAAATGTATTGCAATTCTTTACTGGAAAATTGATCTGTCAATGTGGAATCAATGAAAAGTGTAAAAGAGCAGCATATGCTCATAAAACTCAGTTTTAAATTAAGATGAAGTGAACACTAGGAAATGCTAACCCACTATTGCCAATTTTTTCTGATGCATTCTGTACCTAACAACGCAAAAGTATTCTGATAAGGTGTTTTCTTCTCATCCTGATATGAATCTGTTCTAAACTTGCCTCTTTCCTGTGAAATAATGAAGGAAAACGTGCTTTTTGTCCAGAGCTATTTTATCTGTTGTCATTTGTTGACTCCATATTTTTCTTAGCTCCAGCTTATTTGACTTCCATCGACTATTCTTACAAATTCTCTCCTCAATTGGTGTTTGAGATGCGGTGCTAGCTCTTGATTTGTCTTTTGAGCTCAAGTTGTCAGCTTCAGAAGGCCTCACAAGTATTTTATTTTCATAACACATGAGCACATTTTACAATATATACTTCCTCTCTGTCATTGAAATGCACTCTCTAACTTTTTTCTTTCTCAAAATTTATGTAGTCTAGAACCCTTAGAGTAAATGTTCTCAGGCTTCTCTCTCTCTGCCACTCTGTTCCTTTTACAGATGACTGTAAAACTGTAACAGTGTCCCAAACTTGCATGAAGGAACCACCAACAATCTGGAACAAACCAAAGGAGCAAAAATGTAACAAAGATACAACATTTGAATAATAAAAAAAGTTCTGAAGGAAACCCCATCTTTAATCCAGGAAACACTATCTTTAATCCAGAAAAGGAAAACTGTGAATGGTTTTCAGATCAGTTCTTAAAGTAGAATGAGTCTGTCGTATGATAAAGATTTATCTATCTGTCCTCCAAAAGTGTTATAGAGATCTCTTAGATCAAAACATCATGAAGATTGAATATGCACTGGAGAATGCCTTGCTTTCTTGGCTACCTGGTGAGTCTTCAGGTGGTCCTGTCTTGTTATAGGTTAACTGGAATGAGAAACTTGTGTAAAGGTGTAAGGTACATCTCTAAACTGAAATGAATTTACCAAGTGGATCTATGCAAACAGTACTCCTAAACAGTTTTGCTACTATTCTTATTGATCAGGGAAACGTTTTTTCATTTGAGCATAGATTTCTCTTTCTTTAAGTTCCTTGGTAGTGTGTCTGGTTGGGTTATATATTCATAGTACCACTACACAAGACTTTGGCAAGTTAATTTTATTCCTATCAACAAGTGGTCATTATCTTTTTCATCTGGACTGCCACAGTAATCTTCTGATTCAACATTCTGTTACTATTCTTGCTCCTTTCCAAAATATTTTCCACATAACAGCCAGCTAGTCTTTTTTTAAAACATAAATTGATGCATGTTAGTCTTCTGCTTATACTTCTTCAGTGGTTTTCGTTGCACTTAAAACCCAAGCACTTCAACATGGTTTACAAATCTTTCATAATGTAACCTATCTCTCCACTCTCATTTCATAACCTCTTGCCTCTTTTAAAGCAATTAAGTGCTGCTTATGTAATGACCTGATTAAAGTTTCTAACTTTTTAAATGTCGGGGTCCTCATCTGTGTCACACTCTCTCCTGGAATGTCCTGTCCCCTAAATCTAACTCCTTTTTCCTCTCAGACTATACTTTACTTTCTCAGAGAAGTCTTTTCTGATTTTCATATCTGAACATAGACACATATACATCTCATTATTTTCTTTATAAGCCTTCACACACACTGACAAAAAACAAAACAAAACCCACGTCTACTGAGTCAATTCCAGTTCATAACCACACCCTTCATGGATAGGGTTTCTAAGACTGTAAATCTTTATAAGAACAAATAACCTCATCTTTATGGTTTTTATTTGTATAATCTGTTTCACCATTGTACTTTATATATCCAGTTTCTAGAACTGTGCCTGGAAAGTGGTAGAAAGAATTAAATGGATGTTTGATACTTGCTTTAATAATATTAAGTAGATGTTTGATATTAGTCCAACTTAACCTAAAATACCATTTTACTAACAGTTAAAGCCTTTTAAACATAATTTATTTAATAAAGTTTGTTTTTCACAAGTGTCTTTAATATCTTGAGTTAATTGAATGAAAATTTTGAATAGCTTCTGGAATTAGTCGTATTCTTTTAGCGGCAGTAAGACATTGTTTAATGGATATCCTCCCTTTTAAAAAACCAGCTAAGGTGCCTTGGAGGTGCTGTTGGACAAGTTGTTGGACAACTTAGCCACAGGCTTGGACAAACCTTACAGTTGCTTCATGGGAGAAAGATGAGAAAGATTTGTAGCCTTAGAAACCCCTTACAAAGTTTCTGTGAGTTGAAACAGACTAGATGGCAGTGAGTTTGGGGGATTTTCACTATCTAAATTAAATTCGTTTTTTGAGCAGAACTTTAGAAATATTTTAAATTACATGAATAATAAGCATTTTACATAAACTTCAGGTATATGTAAGTTTAGAAGATCTTTTCTCATTTTTTTCCAAATCTTATTCCCCAGAGAATGACCATACTATCATCAGTTTAGGGTATAATGTGCCAAATATTTTCAAGGTACATGCAGATTATTTTAAAATAAAATGTTGGATTATGTTGATTGACATATAGTTTGTTGATATTAATGCTGACATTCACACATTTCTACATATTTTAATTTTGTGTGTGTTTAAAGCATAGGTTGCTAAATTATGGTTGGTAGATTAGAGAGTGTTACCTGTTCTTCATTTTGAATTTTGATAGATAACTTCTGGTCCTGTATAGTTGTTTGTACTAGACGCACATTCTTCATGGTGTTATTGTTTGAGCTACAGCTCTCATGTAAAATAGAAAAAAGAATGTTAACAGTGTCATTATCATGTACTATGTAAGTTGTATTCTTACTCTATGATGTAATTCAATTAGTAAATGGCCTTTATTTTCCTTGTTATTTAGTTGTTGGTTTAAAATTTTTTTGTTATTACTCTTTTTGTGCGTGTCATTATTATTTGGTTTGTGCCATTTTATTCTACTCATCTATACCTTTCCTCCTAGACACCAAATGAGAGGGTCGATGTTGTATCAGAAAAACCAAGAGAAGAACCAGTACTAAAAGAGGAAGCCCCGGTGAGTTGTTTTATGATTACTGTTTAGCCGAATATGGTCTAAGAAGATGAAAGCAGAGTGATGGAATTATAACACATCCTTATTATTATGGTTCTATACATTAACAAGTTGGTACTGACATTAATTTTTGGGCTAATTTAAGAGGTAGATATCTTTAGTAATTGTTTTCCTTTCAAATCTGTGACCATTTTTCATTGATCATGTGAATTCTCAAGATACTTTATTGTGTTAGTCTGGGTAGACTAGAGAAAAATTCATGGAGAGTCATATGTTCAGAAGAGAGTTTTCTATAGAAGAGCAATTGTATATTGAGGAAACATCCCAGCCCTGTCCAGATCAAGTCCATAAGTCTGATATTAGCCCATATGTCCAATACCCATCTATAAATTCCTCTTTAGACTCACGCAACACAAGCAATGACACCAAATGCAGGAAGCTCAAAGGCTAGTGGGTGGAGAATCTTGTGGATCTTGTGGCAGTGGAAGCATCTCAGTGCTGGCAGGGGTCTCTACATGGCTCCTTCAGCTCCAGGGCTCTAGCATAGCTCCATGTGTCTTCTCAACAGGAATGTCCACCAAGCAGTCTCTGTGTCCCTCCACCAGCAAGCTATTTATCTCCTTAGCACCTCCAGATGAAGCCATCAAGCTGCGACCTGATTGACAGGCTAAACTCCACCCCTTCACTCTAAGTCTCAAATTGACAACAGATTATCTAACTACCACACTTATCAACAAAAGAATGTAGCAAAAGAGGACAACAGTTCTGTTTTTGACATTTGGGATGGGGTTTTAATTTCACTGTTAAGGAGGCTTTATGATCTTTTTTGTAGGTTCAGCCAACATTACCTTCTATTCCAACAACAGAAGTGTCCACTGGTATTAAGTTCCAGGTTGGCGATCTTGTTTGGTCTAAGGTGGGAACTTATCCTTGGTGGCCTTGCATGGTTTCAAGTGATCCCCAGCTTGAGGTTCATACCAAGATTAACACAAGAGGTAAGCAAAGACAGTAAATAAATATTACATTAGAGATTGGAAATAAAGAAAAGCAAAACTTAAATGTATGTGAATTTAATAACATATAATATATACCCGACACAAAAATTACACATCTATGTTAGTTCTTAATAACCATTGAAATAATTATGGAGGCCCTGAGTGGTGGAAATGGTTAGTGAGCTTGGTGCCTGGTTACTAACCAGAAGGCTGGAGTTTCAAGTTGCCTTAAAGATACCTCAGAAGAAAGGCTTAACAATTAACTAACTCCAAAACAATCGGCCATTAAAACCCTGGAGAGCACATTTCTGCTCTGACACTCATGGGGTCATCATCAGTCAGAATCAAGGCGATACAAAGTTTTTGGTTTTTAGTTTGCAAATAAGTATAGTTATTTAAAATGCAAAGCTTCTACAACTGATCTACTTTTTGTTTTCTCTTAATGACATCCTGTATTTGCTTTATAGTTTCTTTGAACATTTTAATTTGTCCTTGATTCCTATGGGTAGTAATACCCCCCCACCCCAGACAGTAACTTTCCTACCTTCATTACATTTTTAAAAATTATAATTTGAGTCCATGCTTGTAAATTTGATCTGACATATAAATATAGCTTAAATCTATATAGCATTAACTCTTATGAATGTTGATAAACATCATTAAGGAAAGATGTATTCTAACTTTATCTCTATTCTTTTTCCTGAGTTTGACCTAAACATGATGTTGATTAGATTCTTGAGATTCTTATCTAGCATTTGGTATGGACTTGCTAAAGGAAGGGAGGGTTGCACTCAATTTATTTCTTCCTTCTTGTCTGTGACAACTTTGTACTTTTTTTCCGTCTTGGTACTTTTCTACTATTTTAGAGACATGTCTTCTTATATCTTGCAAGTCAGATCTATGATAGGACCAGCCGTATCTATAACTCTTTTGCTACAGTACGAAGAATCTGGTCTGGAATAGAAGGCATTTCAGCTTGATTATCTTTCATTTTGTCAGTACTGATTAAACTTTAGAATATTTAGACACATCAATGAGGCAGAAGTTTTAAAATGTGTTATTTTATATAAGGCACTATGTTAAGCAATTCCTACATATTTTTTATGCAATCTAGGTACCATTTTCCTACATTTCAGATAAGTAAATAGAATCTTAAAGAAATTTTCTTTAAAAAAAAAATTTTATTGGGGGCTCTTACAACTTGATAACATTCCATACATAAGTTATATCAAGCCTATTTGTATATATGTTGCCATCATAATTTCCAAAACATTTTCTTCTTGTGCACCTTGATATAAGCTCCTCCTTTTTTCCCCCTCCCTGCCACCCTTGTGAATCCTTGATCAATTATATATTATTATTTCGTATCTTACACTGTCCATTTATCTCCCTTGACCCACATTTGTGTTATTCATCCCCTTTTGGGGAGGAGGGGCTGTATATCCAATCTTGTGATGGGTTCCCCCTTTTTACCCCTTCCTCCTCCCCAAGAAATTTTATTTCTTAACTCAGCTCTTAAACACTATTTTAGAATCCAGCTGGTCACAGTTTACAATGACTGTATTTATGAAGTCCTAGTTCCTGTATATATGAAGGGACTTCAGAAAGTTCATGGAAAAGTAGAATTAAAAAGATAATGGCATTTTCCCACAAATTTTTGAACCCCTTTTATATTTATTTGCTAATAGTTTTGAGCTAGTATTCTCTCAGTTACCTTCCATCTTTAAGCTGTGCTTCTATCAGTAGAAGAAAGGGATAAGGGTTTCCCAAAAAGGACCATGCCATCTTAGTTAAAATAATTCTGGGCCACCAGAGCTGTTTAGGAAATTACATTATGTGATAGTTGTGACACTTCAATTCACTCTTAGAAAAGCATCCTTTTGAGATTGTAGAAAGACTTTCACATTTAATTACTTTATGAAAACTTGCTACTTTCAGCTTTTTTTTACAGGTTACGAATGAAAGCAAATTTGTGTTATCTGTATTACAAAGAAAGTATTTAAATTTAGGTTTATTAATGAACCGAACCTGGTCTCATTCCTCTAGACTATTTCTTATTTTGGTACTGGAAAAACTGATTTTGTATTGCTCGGGAAGTCTGAAATTAGAGAATTTAGGTTAAAAAGCTGTATCTGATATTTCTCAACTTTCTCTTCTCCAGCAGTAGTTTTAGTATTATAACTTTATCCATGTATTATTTACATAATATAAATTCATCCATTTAAAATGTACAATTCAGTGGTTTTTAGTACATTGACAGTTTTGCAACTCTTACCACAATCTAATTTTAGAAATTTTGTGTCTATGAGCAAACTTTCCATCCCTCATCCACCAGCCTTAGGCAACCACTTTCTGTTTCTATGGATTTGCTTATTCTAGACATTTCATGTAAATGGAATCATAGAGCCATGGGACCTTTATATTTATTTTTTATGATCATCCATGTTTTAGCATCTATCAGTACTGTATTCCTTTTTATGGCCAAGTGATACTCCATTGAATGGATATGTAGTGCAGAGTTTTGTGAATTCTGTTCCGGACATGCTACCTTTGAAACATTTTGTGTGGCTGGTAAACTGCTATGTAAATTTAGCTTGAGTATATGTACCGTATATACTCGAGTATAAGCTGACCTGAATATCCGTGGAGGCGCCTCATTTTACCACAAAAACTGCATTTAAAATGTGCCGGAAACCTACTCAAAGCAAGTCTCCAGCCAAGAGCCCTGACCCTCCCTGTCCTCATGTTGTGTTGTCTTCTCTTCGGTAGATGTCTGTCCTCCCTCTCCCTACCCCCTTGATTTCTGTGTAGAACTCTTATCTTAAGCTGTGGTGTCATTTCTATTTTGTTTGTTTTTTAAATTAAGTCTCCATTTGTACCCTTGTGATGATTATATTAAATAAATAACATTTGGGGTTGGTTTGGGGGGAAAAATATGCCGGAAAAAAAAGGCTTATACAGGAGTATATACGGTAATACTCATGTGCTTCCATATTGTTATTGCTCAGTGTTTATTAGTCACGTTCTTATTATTCAATAATGTATGTAGTGATTTTCATACAGAAAGACCTAACTATTTGTAAGATCATGCTAAAAGAACTGAGTGACATTCCTATTTTGTTTATTTCATTATTTAGGGCTGATATTAAGTTTAGAAATTAAAAATTAAATTTTTATCTGGCTGACAAAAATATTACATGCTCATTGGGGAAAAGCCAAACTTTACAAACAAATTTATGATGAAAAATAAAGTGTGCCATATTTGTTTCTTCCAGCATGTAGATCTTTCTTTTTCCTTTGTTTGCAAACAAAGATTTTTAAAAATCATTTTATTGGGGGCTTGTACAATTCTTATCACAATCCATAAATACATCCATTGTGTCAAGCACATATGTACATTTGTTGCCATCATCATTCTCAAAACATTTGCCTTCTAATTGAGCCCTTAATATCGGCTGCTCATTTCCCCCCTCCCTCTCTCCCCACTTCTCCCTCCCTCATGAACCCTTCATAATTCATAAATTATTATTATTTTGTCATATGTTACACTGGCAAACAAAGATTTTTACAAAGAATTTTTAGTAGCATCACTGATAGCAGTGGTCATTTTTACAACAAGATTTTTTTGCTTTAAACTAGATGGCTTCATCTTTGCATTGTTTTTCTTAAATAAAACATTTTCTCTTGAAAGTTTATTCTCTATTCAGAGACAGACATACATGTTTAGTGGTCTTTGAATTTCTTTCACTCCTGTAGTTTTCTAGCCAACAGAAACAGTGCCAACAAAGGACAAATTACTTGATTTATTTCATTTCTAGTAGATGATTCAGTGAAGGAAGAAGTTGAAGATGCAGGCTAAAATGGGATTGTTAATAGAGAGCTTCGGTTTTCATGTTGTAAACTATAATTTAGCGCTGTTATCTTCCGTGTTATCTTTTTGGTCTGAATAAGTAACTGACTTTTGGTAACAAAGTACAGGTATACTTTGTTTCATTTTTGGTAACAAAGTACAGGTATACTTTGTTACATTTAGATTTATTGTGCTTTGTAGATAATGTGTTTGCTACATATTGAAGGTTTGTGGCAATCCTGCATTGAGCAAATCTTTCAGTGCCATTTTTCCAAAGGCCCGTGCTTAGTGTGTCTGCATTCTTGGTCACTTTTTATAATATTTCAAATGTTTTAATAGTGTTATTACACACTTTTAAGTAGCACTAGTAAAGAGTTTGACATTTTGTTATAATTGTAATAGTGCTATTACACACTTCTTTGAAAAAGAGGAAGGCCCTCAACGAAATGGACTGACACCTGGCCTCAACAATGACCTCAGGTATAGGAACAATTGTGAGGTGGTGCAGGACCGGGCAGGGGTTCATTCTGTTGTGCATAGGGTTGCTCTGAGTTAAAACTGACTGCCTCAGTGGTACCTGACAACAACAGTATTACACATATAGATGACAATGCAGGAGAAGGCTTCCAAAAGCTCATGGGAAAATTTCATTATCTTTGAAAAGATTTCACTTTTCAAAGCTCCTTCGTAATGTAAACATAATTTTCTATGTACTGGAAAACAAAGTTCATGTGACAAACTTTGTTGTCCTGTTTGTGTTATTGCAGTGGTGTAGAACCAAACACACAATATCTGATGTGTGTCTGTGTGTCTCACCTAACAGTTGTTATTACCAGCCTGGATTCTCCAGGCTCACCTCTTAATTTAAGTTGTATTTCTCCTTGAAAAAACTTAGAATTTTGATAAATTATCTTTTATTAATTATAATCAAATTTGAATGGACTCTTCTTACTCAAATTAGATGATGTGGAAAGTCAAGTTGCTCCTCTCTTTTCATAGGCTGTTTTATAGAGGAAATATTAACCTGACTTTATAATAATTCCCTACAGAATTTCTCACTTCTTTTTACCTTTTCCATCTAATCACCACTGAGTCATTTCTGCTTTACGGAGGCCCCGTGTCTATGTCAGAGAGGACTGTGCTCCAACAGGTATTCAGTGGCTCTTTGTGTTTTTGAAGCAGATCACCATGCCTTTCTTCCAAGGCTCATCTGGATGGGATCGGACTACCAACCTTTTGGTTAGCAGCTGAGCATACTACCATTTCCACCACCCCGGGTCTTCAATCTTCCGTTAATGTCTAATAAAAATTCTCAAATCCAAGATATAATTCATTTCAAATAACTAAATTACTTCCATTTAGGGCTGAACCCACTTTTGGGTTCTTTGAGAAGACCTGTTCCCACATTTCTTTCTTGACTCAACACTTTTTTCTCCAGAGCAGAACTTTAAAAATTACCTGTGGTAAAGGACTAGTTTGGGCTTTTTAAAAAACATCATTTATTTCTATAAATGACAAAAAATTTTTCTGTAAAATGTAATAAAATAACTTTCTTTAAGATACAATAAAATTTCTCTATAAGATACAATAAAAATTAACTATTAGGAAAATGAAAGAAAGGCCCTCCTCTCCCCTAAAATACTCAATACAAAACTCTTGCTTCTGAATGTCACAACAATGTCAAATTACTGTCATAGTTTCAACATACTTCCAGTTGCTGTACTAATTTATCCACAGTCTGGCTTATTTTTTGTATCACATTTTCAGAGTAACATTGCTCTAGAGCAAATATTCTTAAATGTTTGGATCCCAGGACCCCTTTTATCCTTAAAATTTGAGCACTCCAAAAAGCTTTTGTGTATGTAGGTGATAGCTATTCCTATTTTTAAAAATTATTTTAACTTGGTTTTCACTGCAAGTTTACACCATGAATTTAGTTGCCATTTTAACAATTACTACAAAGTTGCTAGTTAACAATTACTATGAAGATTGTTCACTGACATTGGTTACATTTTCTCACAATGTGTCAACAGTCTCATTAATTCCTTTATGGATGGTTTGTTTCCAGTAACCTGTTTTTCCTGCTTCTTTATTCTTCTGAACTCGAAAGTTTTGCTTTAGAGTGTTTGTTGTCGACCCTTAGGTCTCACATAGGTGATTTTCTTAAAGGTGTGTAGTACTCACTGGTAATATTCTTTATTTTATGTCCCAGTCTTCTAAAGTGACCTTTTGGGGTACTTTTGGTTTAAGATCTATGGTTTTTCTCAATCTGATAGTCTCATAGAATCCACCACTCTATTTCTATTTATTTTAATTTAGAAATTAAAGCTGAAAAATTGTAAATATTTACTAACCTATTTTATAAAATAAACAATTACTATTTAAATAAAAAGTAACAAGCATTATGTTGTCTTATATTTTGGCAAATCTTGTTAATGCCTGACTTAATTGGAGAAAATTGGATTTTCCTCTCTGCTTCTGTATCCCATCTATTATGATGTGTTTTGGTTGGTGTGTGTGAAAATTTGTCAGCCTCACATAAATGTATAGGTAAAAAAGGGAAGAATCGTTTTAACAGGTTTAGGTGAAACATCAGTTTCCTCAACAAAAATTTCAGAAACTTACATTTCCCTCCCACCAGTTATACTGATTTTTATCCATTTAACAAGGCAAATATGTATCCAAATTAATTTTCTTTTAAGCCTTCTAATCTCGAAATTCTCTGTGTGATATACCTGCCTCTCCAGATACATGTTAATTTTTTTATATACATGTTAATTTGACATCAATATAAATTAAGTATTAAACCCAGTAATTCTATTTCATTCATGAAAGCATTACTTCAGTAATAAGTTGTAGCCTTTTCATTCACATTTCAATTTGGCGTATATTTGTAGAGATAGGTATATAAGAAATGTCTGTAAACATAGTGTTAAATTTTTTATTTGATATTAAACCAAAATTTGATGCTAAACCAAACAGTGGTTGGTTTTTAAAAGAATAGTTATAGTTAGAATGTACAATCTGAAAACTATTTTTACTGAACTTTTTGTACGTTGTTTTATTAAAATTCATTATCTTTCTTGCACTTTCCCCTTACATGATTTTGTAACATCATGAATTAGTGTGTTTTTTTAATATTGGCTTATTGAGTCATGTCCATCTTTGAAATATTGACGTTTTTGTATAATTATTATTTTTTTTTATCATTTTTGGGTGCTCTTACAGATATCCTAACATGTCATAATTCCATTAGATCAGGCATAATTGTACAATTGCTGCCACCATCAGTTTCAAAACATTTTATTTCTTCTTGAACTCCTTGATATCTGCTCCCCTTTATCCCCTCCTTTCCCCACCCTACCCCCAGGAACCCTTATTACTATATTACATATTATTATTTTATTTTGCCGTATCTTACATCAGCTAATGTATCCATTCACCTGTAAATCTGTTGTTCATACCCTCATGTGGGGTTCTACAGTCATCATCTACAGTCATCAGTTCCCCTTTTCCTCCCTTCCCCCCAACCCTCTTCCTGTACCCTCAGGGAATCATTACTCAAGTTACTGTTTCTGAAGGGTTATCTATCTTGGCTTTCATGCACCAAATGATCTTAATGTATAATTATTTTTAAATGTCACATTCATATCACCAGTTAATTTTTTCAGAAAATTATTTTATCATTGCTAAGTAGACAACCATACAAACATGTTTTTTAAAATCCTCAATTTTGCTTGAAAGTGCTCATTTCATTACTTGCAACAAATACTATTAGTTGTTTTCCTCAAAGTTACAAGTTTGGTTTGTCCATTTTGAGAAAAATATGCCAAATAATAAAATTCAGATAACCATAGTATACCTGTCAGTCATTCTTTCATAAGAATGTTACATGAGGGTTGGAGGGTGGGGGGAGGAAGGGAAAAAGAGGAGCTGAGACCAAGGGCTCCAATAGAAAGTAAATGTTTAGAAAATGATAATGACAACGTATGTACAAATATGCTTGATACAGTTTTTTAAATCATTTTATTGGGAGCTCATACAACTCTTATCACAATCCATACATTCATCCATTGTGTCAAGCACAACTGTATATTTGTTTCCATCATTTTCAAAACATTTTCTTTCTACTTGTGCTTGATACAATTGAGTTATGTATTGTTATAAGAGTTGTAAGCCCCCAGTAAAATTATCTTTTAAAAAAAGTTACATGAAAAAGCAGCCAGTTCACCTTTTGACTCAAATAGCCATGCAAGTATTTTTCCTCATGCCATATATTTCAATATGTGAAAATGCTTTATGAATATTTCCCATTTTGTCACAGAAAATTAAAAAGACATGTTTGTAAGGGTCAAGATTTAATCAAATTAGTTTTTACTTTCTCATCAAGGACTTTGTGGAAACTTTTTTTTTTTAAACTGTCATTTTATGGCTATGAAGACTATACAGGCACTAGTACATTTTAGTGCCATAATTGCCTTTATTTATACCAAGATGTCAACTGTTTGATCCACTAGTGCTTTTGTGCTATCAAGTACTCATGCAACATAGTGAAAAAGATAAATACCATCTTGGTATTGTTATGAACAGAACTTTGACCTTAGGACCCTTTTCATCTCCTCCCTGAGACTCCTCTGCAAGGGGATCTCCAGTGGCCTACTAATGGGCTTTGGGTCTCCACTCTGCACTCCCCCCATCACTCACTATGGTAAGATTTTTTGTTCTGATGATGCCTTATACCTGATCCCTTCGACACCTTGTGATTGCATAGGCTGGTGTGCTTCTTCCATGTGGGCTTTGTTGCTTCTGAGCTTGATGGCCGCTTGATTACCTTCAATCCTTTAAGACCCCAGATGCTATAGCTGGGCACCATCAGCTTTCTTCACCACATTTGCTTATGCACCCATTTGTCTTCAGTGATCCGTTCGACACCTGGTGATCACACAGGCTGATAAGTTGTTCCATGTGGGCTTTGTTGCTTCTGAGCTAGATGGCCTCCTGTTTACCCTCAAACTTTTAAGACCCCAGACGCTGTATCTTTTGATAGCCGGGCACCATCAGCTTTCTTCACCACATTTGCTTATTCACCCGCTTTGTCTTAAGCGGTTGTGTCGGGAAGGTGAGCATCATAGAATGCCAATTTAATAGAAGAAAGTATTCTTGCGTTGAGGGAGTACTTGAGTGGAGGCCCAATGTCCTTCTGCTACCTTAATACTAAGCCTATAAATATAGGCACAAAGATCTATTTCCCCATCCTTATATAGATATATTTGCATATGTACATATCTTTGTGTAGACCTCTATAAATGCCCTTTGCCTCCCAGCTCTTTCCTCTATTTCCTTAGGACCCTTTTCAAAGATTCCCCCACCCTCACACTTAACTTTCCACCAGGGATGTGCGTACCACAGCTTTATAGTTTGTAAAAAGCAATCTATTAATAGTTGGCTTTTTAAAGTGTGCAAGAAAGATGTTATACATTTATCTTAGGGAAACATTGTTTACTTGCACACATTTATTTGTAAAAATATTTGAAACCTCCCCCCCAAAAATATTGTGTGACCAAAGTAATGGCTGATAATTATGAAGTTTCTACTTTTTACTTTCTTAAAATTGACTAATTTTATAATCATTTGGAGTTGTTTTTTTTTTTGTTAAATGTAATTTTTTGTAATTAGTAGATGTTGGATTAGGGCTGTAGACTTCTAAAACATACGTTTTTAATGAGAGTAATACTGAGGAGCCTGAGTTGACTTCACAGTTTTGGCAAGACATATGAATATTTGTATTCTGAAGTTATTCATAAGAACTTTTACTTACAGGTGCCCGAGAATACCATGTCCAGTTTTTTAGCAACCAGCCAGAGCGAGCATGGGTTCATGAAAAACGGGTACGGGAGTATAAAGGTCATAAGCAGTATGAAGAATTACTGGCTGAGGCAACCAAACAGGCCAGCAATCACTCGGAGAAACAAAAGGTAACTGACAGCATATTATCAATGCAGTGTGATTTCTAAGGGACATCATAATTCAGTAGAATGTTTCATATTTGAATTTACACAGTTGTTAGAATGATTTATTTTAGCTCCTTTAAATCGTTTTAATTATTCATACAATAAAATTTTACTTATCAATAACTTTGATATGCCACATTATAGTATTGTTAAAATTTTTACCTGTTTAATGCAACATTAGATTTTATTGTAAATTAAATTGATATGCCTAAATCTGTACTAGATGCTAGTGAAATGACAATTTTGCTAGGAATTGCTACCCTCTCCCTATTTTTTTTAACAGCTTTATTGGCGCTTCATCCACTTATCATACAATTCAATAGTTCAACCAGGTCAAGAAAAGGTGTACCAAAAAAAAAAAAAAAGAAAAGGTGTACAATCTCTACCATAGTCAGTTTTAGAACATTTTCTTCCCTCCACCCCGTACTCAGTGTTTTTGGTTTTGTTTTTTTTTTACTCATTGTTATTCATGTGAATTTTTCTTTTTCAATTTTGGCAAAAATGCACACCACAAAACATTCTCCAATTCAACAACTTCTACATTTATAACTCAATGCCAGTGATTATATTCATTGTGTTGTACAACTATTACTGCGATCCCTCCAAATTAGTCCACCAATATTAAAATGAACTCAATGCCCCCTAAGCAAAAACTCTTCTTAACCTTAGGTCAAGTTTGGTTTCTTTCTTGAGTATTCTTGATATAATATTCACATTTCACACATTTTTATAATTAAACTGCTTCTGAAAAGGGTTGTCTATACATCATCACAATCAGCTATAATGCTCCCTCCCCTCCACCTGTATCTACTGATTGCTCCCCAATTCCCCTCCCCCCACTTCATTATAAACTATTGCATTAGTTATTGTCTCTGTGTATCCACTGCTTCTGTTCTTCCTAAACTGGAAGACCTAATATGTACTGAACTATCTCATAGTTTCATTAGCTAATTTCTGGCTACCTCAGTCTAATTCTCTAGATAATCCTTAATTGCTTTAGTCATCACCCACACACTTTATTCAACTCAAAGTTTTCTTTTGTCTTTTCCCATTTCAAAGTCTTTTGATGAACTGTGGACATAGAGAGCTGTGGAAACTGTTATTCAGGTTTATTTTGCCTCTCACACATATGCCTATTTACATATGTCTTGTCAACTTTCATACATGCTCTCAGAACTTTCTACTTTTACTTCTATACCACCCCCACCCATTATGATGCAGAAAAGCAGCACAGCTTAACTGCTGGCTCTCTGCCACTTGGCTTTGTTACCGCCCTTGTGTTCCACTGACCTATCCCACTCCCCTAGAATTTGTGAAGAAATAGGAGTTTTGCGGTTTCATTTTTAATGTTAGTGCTTTATTGGACATTGAAAGTTATTCTTTCTGCATTCTATTCTTTCTTCCCTCTTGTCCTCATTTTTGCTCTTTTAAATACATTTTTTGCTAGTTTTTAAATAAATATGATATAGAAAGAAGGATGATGCCCTTTCTGCTGATTTGTCCGACAGAATGATCAACAGAGGACAGTTAGGTAATTGGAAGTAGACTTTCCTGTCCGCTGGTGGTAATACTAATTTATCAGTGTTCTGTAGGTAAAAGAATCTGAAAATATTTAGCTCATATTTACCTAAGGAGATTACAGTGTCACCCAAGAAGTACATAATCATAAATGACTAAAATATCTTCAATAATGTCTATATATTTTTTTAAGATTCGGAAACCCAGACCTCAGAGAGAACGCGCTCAGTGGGACATCGGCATCGCCCATGCAGAGAAAGCATTGAAAATGACTCGAGAGGAAAGAATAGAACAGTACACTTTTATCTACATTGACAAACAGCCCGAGGAGGCCTTATCTCAAGCAAAAAAGAATGTTGCCTCCAAAGCTGAAGTTAAAAAAACCCGGAGACCAAGATCAGTGCTGAACACTCAGCCGGAACAGACCAATGCTGGGGAGGTGGCCTCCTCACTGTCAAGTACTGAACTTCGGAGACATAGCCAGAGGCGGCATACAGGTGTGGAAGAAGAAGAACCACCACCTGTTAAAATAGCCTGGAAAACAGCAGCAGCCAGGAAATCCTTACCAGCTTCCATTACAATGCACAAAGGAAGCCTGGATCTGCAGAAGTGTAACATGTCTCCTGTTGTGAAAATTGAACAAGTATTTGCTCTTCAGAATGCCACAGGAGATGGGAAATTTATCGATCAGTTTGTTTATTCAACAAAGGTACTGCCAGTTTTATGTTTTTGTGGAAGGTATTAATAAATAATCAATCTTGGGATTGAAAACAGAAAACAAAAACCAAAAAACCCACCCAAGGCAATGATTTCCATATCTCCTGTGCCCACTGAATTTGAAATAGGTATTCATCTCTCTGTTTAAGATGGGGCAAAAAAAGACATAGACAAAGTGACTTTGTTGTTTTGTTTTTTCTCTTCTTGTTGTTATGTTTTGCTTTGTTTTTTTCCCTCTTTTGCAACACCCCTGTCTGTACTCCATTAATCTGGAGCGATGCAGCCAAAACAGCATAGCTTCCTAAAATTGTGGGGAAAACTGGGCACTTTGCCTGTTCCTAGTTCGTGTAGTTAGTCTTTATTAGTTGCAGAATGTACTTTATATTAAAACATTTTAATCAGTTTTCTAAACTAATAATTGTTTTAAAAGCCACTGTTATGATTGTACTTGCTGACCTGTTTGGTTTTACTACCTATTTTGTTAGGCTACTGTTGGTTTCAGGTTTAAAGACATACCAGAGGTATATGTTTGGTCTGCAGTAGTTAGCTCTGAGGGGTGGGTTAAGGCCTCAAATTGAATGCACCACCAGTTTGCCTTCGGGCCTAATATGCAGTGCAAAGGGGTAGGCACTTGCTAGCACTGAAAGGTTGCTGACTTGAACCCACCCAGAGGACCTTTGAAAGGTGGGCCTGGTAATATGCTTCTGAAAGGTCTCAGCCTTGAAAACTCAATGGAGCATAGTTCTATTCTGTATGTAACACACCGGGTTGCCATGAGTTGGAATTGACTCCTCAGCAACTGGCGGTTCACTTACCTGGAAAGCGGTAGAATCCTCACAGTTCCTGTAGGAATATATCTTATACGCAGCCATCACCCGTCTGTCAGTGGAGACTTGCATGTTGCTAGACTGCTGAACGGGTTTCAGTGGGATGTCCAGATTAAGATTAGGAAGAAAGACCTGCCTATCTACTTGTGAAAAATTGGCCAGCGAAAACCCTATGGGTCACAGTAGTCCCATTCTTCAACTGATCATGGGGATCAAGCGACATTTTGTACCATTGTACATGTGGTTGTCCTGAGTTAATACTGACTCCGATGGCAGCTAACTACTACAATAACTTACCTGGAATAATTTACGTGACTATTATATTCTTGGTTTTGATGCTAACTTTGAATAGCGTTGCAGTTTTGTTTTTAATGAAAATTGCTTACATTTTTGGAGCCAGTTTTATTTCCTTCTGTATACACAAACCAAACTTTGTCTCACACTCTTAACCTCATTAGTATTGAAAGGAAATCCATGATATATATGATACTTTAAAACATGCATACACAAAAACATGCATATATACATGAACCTTAAAAATTCCTGGAAAAATTCCACTATCTTTATTTTTCCACAAATTCTTTGGAGGTGTGTGTGTGTATGTGTGTGTGTTTATAAGTCACTCCAAGAATGATTCATTGGCTTAAAAAAGAGAACAGAATTTGTATAGGCCTTCTCCCTGCTTCAAATTGCTTATTAGTCACCATAAATGGTATTTAAGAATATTGTCTCTCAAAACGTGTTGACATTTTTGTCTGAGTAATAGGGAACTCTACCAAATGAAAATAACTAGAGTTCTCGTACTGTGATAAACCGAAAGGAAAATAACTAGGTACTACTAGAAAATTAGGTAATGCTAGAGTCGTGTCCATTATATTCATCACCTGAACTGAAGACAAATTGGTTTTTGCCATAATTTCATTTTACTTTTTTAGAAGGTAGCCTGATGATTTAACAAAATTGGTCTGATAATGTGTAAGGTGATAAATTAATTTCATTGAAGGACTTTATAAATTTCAGCAAATTACCCATTTAAAGCCATTTTGTAAGTCATTGATGTTATTTGCCTAGTAATCACCTAGTTTTTACTTTGCCTTATTTTAAAGGGAATTGGTAACAAAACGGAAATAAGTGTCAGGGGACAAGACAGGCTTATAATTTCTACATCACACCAGAGAAATGAAAAAGCAACTCAGAATATATCATCTCCTGAAACAACATCTGGTCCGACAGGTTGGTATGATTAAAGAGTGTCTAGATCCATTTTGATAGGTCATAGTTCTCTTTTTCCATCACATATGTGGGTAAGTCAAAAAGTGTTACAGACAAAAAATTTAAACACATTTCTGCAAGCAGTACATGGATCCAGCCAAGTTCTCTCAGTAATAAACACTTGTCTTGGTCTCATCAGGGTAGCTTCAAAGAAAAAAAAAAAGGCACAATCAAAACCCAGTGGCTTCTAAAGGGAACTGCTGGGTGAGTTAAATTTATCTCAGAAGGTCATGGTGACTGTGGGGGTGGGGTGGGGTGGGGTTGTTTGTTTGTTTAAAGGGGCACTCGATAGATTTTCTTAAAGGACACAGGATGATCATGGGGTCTTATTAGGAAGAAGTTTTAAGGAAATTGAAGTCTGCATTGGTGAGAGAAAAAAGAGCCAGGAATGCTGCAAAAAGGAATGTTTTTCCATCACAACAATGAACCAGTTCATTTTTTAAGAATAGCAGGCACTGGCCTAGGAGAATTTCCTTGGGAACCTTACCCCAGTCTCCCTGCAGCCCCAACCTTTCCCCTTTAGACTTCTTTTGGTTCCCCAAACTCAAAGAACATTCAAAAGGAACCCAGGATGCCAAAATTGCCATCTTGGTATTGGTGTACATCAAAGAGTACAAAATTCTTCTTGGAACAACTAAAGAAATGGAAACAATAGTATCAGAAGTCTGTAGACCTATATGAGTGATATGCCGAGAAATAATAGCTTCACATTTTTATATTTAATAACAATTGCTATGATTTTGTAGCAGTATTTTTTTTACTTACTTTCCTAGTATATTTCTAAGAAAGTTGCAGTCAAAGATCAAATTGTATTAATAAAAGTATAAATTTTTCATTAAGACAAAAATGAGTTAGTTACTAAAGAATTTTCATAGTAAGAGTTATTTTCATGTAAGGGTTTTAATAATTGGGAAGCTTTGTAATTAAAAGGTGGTAGCAGAGTAGATGGGGGCACATGTTGGACAGAGCACATATTCAACAACATAACTTTATCCAAAATTGAACTGGGAAAAGAAGTGGAATCTGATGGTAATTGTTCAGAACAAGAGATGCCACTTTTATCACTTCAAAATACTGTATTAAAAAAGATGAAATTACAGTGTTGACAGAAAGATAAATAGAAGATTTTGCATTAATTAACCATAAATGAAAATAGTTGGGCCTCAGCTTTTTTCAGCTAGGTATATAAATTTTGTCTTTTTCTTTTTTAACCTCTTTTTCACTAACCTGTTGGTAATTTTGGTGACTTGTTTGAATTTAAAGGAGGTACTTAGATTTGGACAATCTTTTTGAAAACATTTACTTCTCTTAACTGTGAGAAATTAAATTTTAATGTATGATATTAGAGTGAGCTCAGATGTTTTTGTTTTTAAAGCAGCTTTCCCCCTTTCCCCTCACTTCTTAAAGTTTTGTTTTCATGTAGTCTTTACTGATAAGAGTTAGGTTTGCTATGGTTTTTTTTCCCCTCCTTAAAATTCTATCTGGAAAAAGCCTTTATTTTTTCTTTAGGCAGGCACATATAATTTAGGTTGTAAATTCAGACTGGAACTTTGATTTCATGATGGGTGCAATAAAACTTTTTTCTTGGTTTATATTTAGTTACTAGCTCTGGTTAATAAGCATATTTTGTTCTTTAAAATTATCATGCTGATACAACTTTCCTCTAGTTCCTAAATGTTTCCTCCCCGCTCCCACTACCATGACTCGAATTCTATCTTGCAAGTCTGGCTAGACCAGAGGAGGTACACTGGTACAGATAGGAACTGAAAATACAGGGAATCCAGGACGGATGAGCCCTGTAGGACCAGTGGTGTGAGTGGCAAAACAGGGAGGGTAAAGGGAGAATGGGTAGGAAAGAGGGAACCGATTACATGGAACTGTGTGTGACCTCCTCCCTGGGGGACAGACAACCGAAAAGTGGATGAAGGGAGAGATCGGACAGGGCAAGGTATGACAAAATACCCATTTATAAACTATCAAGGGCTCATGCGGGAGGGGGGAGCGGGGAGGGAGGGGGAAATGAGGACCTAATGTCGGGGGTTTAAGTGGAGAGAAAATGTTTTGAGAAATGATGTACAAATGCGCTTTACACAATTGATGTGTGTGTGGATTGGGATAACAGTTGTATGAGCCCCTAATAAAATGTTAAAAAAAAGAAAAAAGAAAGAAAACAAAAGTCCTGACAACTGGACTGAGAGGCGACATCATGATAAATGGAGAAAATTAAAGTTGTCAAGGATTTGATTTAAAAAAAAAATTATCATGCTGATTCTTGTGAAAACAAATTCCATACTTGAAATGTTAGAAAAGAAATTTGTTCTTCCATTAGAGACCAATTGCATCATGATCTCAATTGCTGTTGATCGTGTAGGGAGAATGCTGGAGGTGGTTTTGTTATTGTTTAATAACTTTGGGGGAAACATTAATGTGTGGCACTGACAATGTTTCTGTGGTTTAAAGAATTGCTTTTACGTTCACATTAGATTTCTGGGCTGTTTTTCAGATACAGAGATACTTCCTTCTCCTCCCTTCATTTAGATCGTAGTACATAATATTTTTTTCAGTGGTGTTTAAATCTAGTAGGATCTATGTGTACTTTAGGTAGCTTTCAGAATAATCTTAAGAATTTATGTTGCCCTGTCTTCTGTAAGACTATGGTTTCTGTCTCATCTACACTTAATGGAATAATTATTGTCAGTCTCAAAACAAGTAAAAATTTTGTATTGTCAAGTAAACTCCGTTTCTTCTTTGGTGAATACTGAAGATTATACTAAAGAATGGATCCCTGAGTTGGTCTATGTATGGTCTTTGTTTCGGTAATAACAATTATTATCAGTTTAAGGAGAAGAATGTGAGGAACCCTCATGGTGCAGTGCTTAAATGTTTGGCTGCAGTTTGAGTCCACCAGCTGTTCCACCAGGGACAGATGTGACAGTCTGACTTTATAACTGTCATAGCCTGGGAAACACTGTAGTGCAGTTCTACTTTATCCTATAGGTTGTTATGAGATGGCAGTGCGTTCAGGAAAGGGTGACTTTAGAGCAGTGGTTCTCCACCTCTCTAATGCCTCGATCCTTTAATACAGTTCCTCATGTGGTGGTGACTCCCCTCAACCATAACATTATTTTCGTTGGTACTTCATAACTGTCATTTTGCTACTTTTATGAATCGGGCAACCACTGTGAAAGGGTCCTTCGACCCCCAAAGGGGTCACGACCCACAGGTTGAGAACCACTGCAATAGAGGAAGGGGCCAACACCTTTATCCTGACTTCTCTGCTAGATACTGGTTAACTGTACTTCGAAAACAATAAGTATTCTTCATCAAATTACCTGTTCCTACTTTAAAGCAAAAGTAGGAACATTGTTTGATTTGACTGAACTAAGGTGAAGGAAACCGTTTACACATAACCAACAGCTATAAATCCAGAATATATAGAGGAAGACTGGATTGCAATAGTTTCTACCTAATTTTTGTAGGAGGATTTCCAGCATCCTCCTATGGCAAGTGGAAGGTGATTATTATCTAGGGGGACTTTTTAGGTAGTACAAGCACTGAAAAAATAGCCTTGCTTGCTCGGTTGTTAAGGGTTCATTTCGGTGATTTAAACTCAGACATGGAAGAAAAGTGAGGCACTCTGCTTCAATAAAAATGGCAGTGATTCAGGTTTGGTTTGAGGCACTAAAAAGATGGAAATCAGCAAAACTGAGGGTGCTTTCACTCCTCTAGTCCCAGCATGAAATCATCCCGTGTGTAGTGCTCTTTCAAAAAGTTGTGGTCTTTAATCTTGTTTTATCCTTTCTAAAAATGAGGTTCATGTGAGTTTCCTTCCATTTGCTTTTAAACAATTTCACTATTTAAAAAAGCATCTGATATGGAAAAGCTTGATAATTTGTTTTAACACTTGTTTCCCAAGACTAGTTCCTTCTTTCTAAAGTATAATTAGTCCCTTAATTGTCAAATTAAAAAACCAGGTATTTGGTCACGTTTTTGAGGGGGCATCATATGTTTCCCCTTTGGTGGCTAATAATAATAATCATAACAGTGGCAAAACTTACATGAAGGGGCTTCAAAAATTCATGGGGAAAATTTCATTATCTTTTAGTATATTTTCCACAGATTTTTTTTGAGGTTGCTTTGTTTAAGTGCCAGCTATTCAGCAAGCACCGTTAAGCATTTTGTATGTAGAATTAACTTAATTTCTTTGCTAAAATGCCAAATCTATAGATTGGTTGAATTTTGAACCAACAATTCCTGATGTTAGCTGGGTGATAAACCATTCTCATGCATTCTTTCAATTATACGTATTACAGGTAGTGGTGATTACACATTGGGCTGCTAATCTCAAGGTCAGCAGCTTTAAACCACTAGACCCTCCATGGGAGAAAAACAGCTTTTTATTCTCAGAAAGAGTTCTAATCCCAGAAACTCACAAGGGCAGTTCTCCTGTGAGTGGACTGTGACTCGATGATTAGAAGCTATCTGCTTTACATACAGTCTACTCTTTCAATTTGACTGTATCATTCTTTTTAAATGCAATTCCTTTTGCTTGTCTAATTTAAGGCCCTTTGGAAATCTGAGTTTCAGTTCGTCAGCCTTTAGAATTTGATCTACAAAAATGTTTATGTACTCTTCAGTATTTTAACAGCCTTTTAAGGGTTTATAATTAAATCATTTATTTATAATTAAAATGCCAAAGGTATTTGCTAAGGAAAGCCGGGAATTTCACCTAATCTTAATTATTTAAGTATCAAGGTATCCATAAATGAGATTTTGTTTGTTTGTTTATACCATCTTTTAGGCTCAATAGAAAAGAAGCAACAGAGAAGATCAATTAGAACTCGTTCTGAATCAGAGAAATCCACTGAGGTTGTGCCAAAGAAGAAGATCAAAAAGGAGCAGGTTGGCTTCCTACATGTAGAGAGTTAAACCATTGCATTTGTAACTGTTGTCGTTTATATTGGTATTGGAAAGGAAAGAACTACTACTCTCATGCCCATGCCCTCACCCCAGGTCTCCTTTCTGGACTATCTTTCTCTTTTTGTCCTGCTGGGTTCCAGTGCCCGATTTTAACACGACCATTCCTGGGGTTCTGCTTCAAGCGTTCTCCTAGACAAGCAGCCAGGCTTCAGGAGATGGGAAGCCACTAGTGCCAGCCTCTTCCAGAATCCCTCATGTTGCTTTTGAAAGTTCTGTTATGAGCAAAATGATTTTATATTTTTTAATATGAAACCACCATTGAGTTCCCTCTCCCCTCCTTTTTTTATTTTTTAAACTTTGATTTTTGGTTTAAGCTGCTGGTATTACTATTATTTTAACAAATCAACTTAATTTACCTCTGAGAGTTAATATAAGAAACAAAATCATAGATGATCTGGTTTTTCTGTTGGTACCACAGATTTTTTGGAATGTTACTTTCCTCCAGTAGAATGGCACTCACCTGTAATTAGGTTGTCAGATAAATAGTATTTAAATTATTTTTAAAGGGGGTAGGGTATTTTGACTGAAGCATGTTAAGCCAATGTAATCAATGGGGCAATATACATGTCAAATTACCTTTTTGTTGCTATTTTGAATTAAATTCACAATCAGAATTTTTATTAATTTTTTTAACAGTGAAAGAATAGCCATTTTTATAGCCCAGATAGCACTATTGAACAAAAGAAATTCAGAGTGGAATTAGCTGTACTAAGCTTTATATTTTTAAGCCATTTAATATGGAAGAGTATGGACTTTTCTATTTTAATTATGTCCTTATATTTTAAACTTTCAAATTTAAAATGAAAATAATTTTGTGGGTATTCTATGACATCACCAAGCATGTAAAACAATTTTCCCAGAAATACTTAACTAAAATTTAAATTGATTAATTCATTGAATATATTAACTTTTATACTTAGGAAATTATATTCCAAAAAATCTTTCGAAGCTCTTGAAAATAAATCTATAGTATTCACTTCAAAATTTCTTGTGATTTTGCCTGCTGGTTCCCAAATTCAGTCTGTGACCAGTCAGTTTAAAATTAATAAGTGAAATGAGTTTTTATAAAATGGGACAAACAAATTGTTAATGCCACTGTGTTATAGTTAGTAGTAGAACAATACCAGTGATTGTTTAGAAGATTTTATATTTGTATTACTACTTAATTGTATCTTATAAAAGCGCTTCTGTTGTATGTTTTTTTAACCTGTTGTAAAAAAAATAAAAAAATTTTAAAAAGTTATAGAACAATCCTTAAATATTTACAAAATGTGTTTCAACATGGATAATGCACCACATCTCAAACATAAAATTCAATTCATAGCTTAAACAGGAACTCCTCCAACAACAATGGTTCAATCCTCAAATTACCACGTGTTTTACATATACATTGGCAGAATAACTTCTGATCTCGCTCTCCTAATGTAGGATCAAGACACTGTTCATAAGACACTCAAGAAAGTGCTTTTGCAATATCACAAACTTATTTTCTTAAGTTTGTACTAGCAGCAAAAGTATTGAGCTTCCAGCTGTATGCAGCCCTGTAGCACTCTCTACAGAGAGGGTCCTGATTCCCAGCAACTTAGCTGTGAGTGCAGGCGCGGAAGGGTCTTAAAGTGGCGTGAGTTACATTAACCTGAGTATCATAGTAAGTAAAAATTTATCCTAACGTCTTTGGGGCGGGAGGGGTTTATAACAACATTGGGGCTAGTTGCAGAAACAACCCCTCTCCTGCCTCCCACACACTGAAGAAAGTATTCTTGTTCTCTTCGATTACCAAGGGAATGGTGGGAAAAGTCTTTGCTAGAAAGCATGTGGCTGTGTGTTGTCACTTGGTATTCAGTGCAGGTAGCTAGCATTTCAACCCTCCCTGACCTTGAAACAGAAAAGTATTCCCAGAAGATGGGACTGGCTTCAGATTTCTGATACATTCATCATTACTTAGATCAATGAAAATATTATTTTTCCCTCTATTAATTAAAAGTGGGGGGGGAAGAAACTCCTTGTTAATATGGTATTTTTCTATCCATACAGGTTGAGACCGTTCCCCAGGCTACTGTTAAGACTGGATTACAGAAAGGTGAGTTATTATATAATGTTACTTTGCATTTCCTTGATTAAAACCAATTTTTAAGAACGATTTATTTGTACTTCATGTATTTTTGTCTGTCTCTGTAAATCATTGTTGTTACTCTCCAGTCAATAATTTGTGTGAAATTGCACTATTCCCCAGTGTCTGTGTGTGTGCGTGTGACTTTTAGAGTTGATCTTATACTGTATCTCCATGTGAAAAAAGTCTTATTTGTTTCTGTAAATTTGGAGAACACCATATAGACTTGATACCATTTCCAACTTTTCTCCCTAAGATTCTGGGGTTCCACTGGTTTATAAACTAGGGATGTGACGAATCCACTTCTTTTGGTATTCGACTGAATACCAAATAGTAGCTAATAAGGTTTGTCAAACATGGACTATGACAAATCAGACAAGACAACCTGATTGAAAAAATCTTGCCACGGTTATTTTTACAGTGCTGTAAAATTCATTTGTAAATTGAGGTGATTCATAGCATATTTATGGCCACTATTAGATGAACTTATGCAAATCTATTTGAGATATGCACAAAGTTTAAGAAACCTTAAACTTATATCTGTATTTTTATGTGTGCAATTTGACTACAGTACAAACTCCATAGCATGATTCGTGCATTTTTGGTGAGATCATTGAAACTGTATTTAATACATGTAGTTTACTCTGGGCAAATTGCATTATTTAAAAAATAAAATAAAATAAACACCAGCCTCTCTGCATTCTCGGGGAGAAGTCTGCAGCGATGGTCTCCGTGGAGATCCTCAGCAGAACTGAACAGCCTCCCGGAGGGAACACTGCTTGGCGGAGCTCCAAGAAAAGACATCGCGATCGCTGCGAGATTAGGAGGCCTGATTGCGTTGTGTTTCCACCATTCCACAGGGTCGGCGGACCGGGGAGTGCAGGGCTCTGTCAGATTCAGTGACAGCTCCGTCTCCGCAGCGATTGAGGAAACTGTGGACTGAGATTCCTGTACAATTTCATCCCAGAAACTCCAGACTTGTAGTCTCCATGCAAGATTTCTTTGTCGGCGGCTCGATAAACAGTTTCTTTGTTTTCGATTTTGATTTGGCCAATCATCATTATTGGCATTTTCCTGCCTGGTTTCTTCAAGACTCTGAACAATTGCTTTAACATTCAAATGATTTTTTTTTTCCGGTCTGAGCTGGATGGGTACTGCTTAAATCATGGGTCCAGCCTAAAAAAACCACCGTTTATCTCACACTGATCAATTTCAACATGGACTGTTTTTTGTTTTTAAATAAAGCATCATTAATGCACATCTGCAGGGTTTTGCCAAACAGCCCAAACTGTATACATTACAATCATTAAAGGCTCTTATTTTTTTTAATATTAGTGCCGTTATCATGGAGAACAGCATGGCAGCTGTCTTTGGCAGTCTGTCATTTTTCTAGCATTTTCAGAAACTCGTCGGAAATGGCGGTACCTGTGTTTCCCTTCAAAAGCCTCTCACTGCAGCACTTCTGTTCCTCTGTTAAAACTCCTTGTTAATCCAGTGATCTTTTAGGCCAAGGAAACATTCTGTGGTGTTGTTCTGGGTCCATACACCAGCAATGAAGGAGATAGATTTGTGTACTTGTGATTTTTAATCCGCGTTAACATGGGCAGGCACCCTCATTTATAGATGTCAGGAAACACTGAGTGAAAACCTTGTAGGAGGGGATATGATAACGAGGTTCCAGTAATCTGAGCAGTCTAACGAGGCCCGCATCCTGTACCACAGACCATGGCTTTATACCAAGTGCTGCTCCCACTCAGCCTGTTGCGGATCTCCATGGCCTCAGGAGACTTGTTTCTCCAGGGCCTCTTCTGGACTACATACTTCCACCATAGCTTGCTGGGCTGATCTAGATGTCTGTCTGTTGTATGGAAATTATGGGGGAGAAAAATCCAAAACACACAACTGTGGGTTGAAATATTAACCATCTCCTTGGTTCCTTGGTATTCACCGTGCCTGATCTGCACATTTCATCGTGGCTGTTTCTGTATAGCCTATACTGCATTAGCCCAAGAGATTGTTGCTTTGTAACTTTTTTGCACTATTGTTTTGGCTGGATTTGTATTATACACAGTTTTAAAAAAGAATTCCACACTATTCTCTGCCTTTTTTTTCCCCATATGTATTCCTTCCCGCACAAATTTCACATAAAGGCCTCTCATCCAGCTCTCCGTGATTTGGCTGTACTTGAACACTGATTGTCCTTTTACAACCCTCAGCAATGTGCCTCCTTAACGGCATGACATATGTAGATGTGCTACAGCACTTGTTAATGGTCACAATAAATGCCACTTCACCTAAAAAGTCTCAGAGATGAACAATTATCAACATCTAAAATTTGCTTGGGGGGAGATTATCAACTGAATTGCAAAATTTGGGGGAAAATGGCACTGTCCGTGTACCAATCAAATACAAATCAAAGATTTGTCACATCCCTAATAAAACAAACAAACAAACAAACAAAAAGATGACGATGTCTCTGCAACCATATTTGTAAGCTACACAGTGTGTTGGGTTTTATGTCTTCCCCCTCCAAATTGAATGGTTCTTTGAATTGCTGCAAATCAATCTGTCCTGCAGTTTTAATAGAATTGGTTTTTAGGTTGGAACCTGGGCTCTAATGACTGAAAATAGCTTTAGAGCAGGAGCACTGAAATAAATGTTTTCATAGAGCGGTTGTAAATTAAACCAGTCACTACCAGAAAGGTCAGAAGCTCATGATGCCTTGACTCGTGACTTCAGTGTTACAAAGAGAGCTGCGCTTTTTTTTCACACCAAAGACGAATTTGGGGAAAGAAAATATTCTTCCACTCCCCCACCCCCCAATCCCCCAATTTTTTTTTTTTAACAGCAAACTTTTAAGCACTATTTTAGGATTAATTTCAGTGTGTTATATTAAGGTGCCAGCGAGATTTCAGATTCCTGTAAACCTCTAAAGAAAAGGAGCCGTGCCTCCACAGACTTAGAAATGACTAATTCGGCATACAGAGACACGTCTGACTCCGATTCTAGAGGACTGAGTGATCTGCAGGTAAATATGTGCAAGCACCTGGGGCAGAGGGTTCTTCTCTTTTTTCTTTCTCTTTGCAAAATCAAAGTAATAGAATGCTTGACTTGACTCATTTGAAAAATCAGGCACATTTAAACAAAGATGAAATTACTTGGGTTATATTGGGTAACTTAACAAGTGTTTGAATTTTACGGATCTCTTGTAACAGAAGCAAGTTTTGTTTACAGGTTTGAACTACAGTTTCTACCAAACACCAGAGGTTTCAGTCATAGGTTTCAGAAAGAAAGCAAAAAGAGGTTTTATGTATTAAGTAAGCGTCATTTGAGCAAAACCTGCTAGGTTTTTCACAGGACCTGAATTTGAGGGTGATGATGTCTTGGTTTGCTTTTCTGAAAATATGTGGTGTTTTCCACCTAGGTAAGCTTTGGAAAGCAAGTAGATAGCCCTTCGGCTGCTGCAGATGCAGATGTTTCTGATGTGCAGTCCATGGATTCAAATTTGTCAAGAAGAGGAATTGGAATGAGTAAAAAGGACACCGTATGTCAGGTAGGCAGGTCATCGAACATATGGCCTGAAACAATTGCTCCAATGTTGTACCAATAATATATTTACCTCCTGTTGAAGAAGGTGGTAGTATCTTTGTAGATTATGATATTACTTTAATGCTATAGATCAAAACATCATTTTTGACACTTCCCTTTTTAAGTTAGAATAGTTATGCACATATAAATCTAAATATTCACAGTGATTAGCTGTAAGTAAATGACACATGACTGACTTTTAGAACATTTTTTGTAAAGTTGAGTTGATAATAACTTTAAAGACACACCCACTTGCATATAAGGGGGGGCAAAAAGTTTGTGAAACTAAAAGAATGAATTATTTTTTTATTTTTTTAATGAACTTTTTAAAACCCCCATGGCATTGTCCTATGTTGAAAATCTTGCTTTGCCCTGCAAAGAGATGTTAAAGTGTGCATATCCCCCCAAAATGAAATCATATAAGATAAAGTGTGACTTTTAGACTTTGAACCATACTGGGTCTGGTAATGGTCATCTAGCTTAGTGACTTTCCATGCCAGGTCCAAGGAGCAGCAATGTCCTCATCTTTAGGAAACTTATTAGAAATGCAAACTCTTGAGCCTTACTCCAGACTTACTGCATCAGAAACCTTGGGGTGATCACAGTAACAAAAGGATGGGAAGCAACCTTAAGTGCCCATTAACTGAAGAATTGGTGAACAAACTATGGTAGATACGTACAATGGACTATTAACCAACAATAAAGAATATTAATGAATCTGAAATCATTCATAAAAGGAACAAATACTGTAAAAGACCATTATTATTAAATGTGTATATAGTAAGAAAAGGTTCGCAGACAGGGGAAAAAAATCTGATGTGTACCAGGAATGGGGAAAGGAGGGAAAATGGCTAGCTAGCTAGAATATGAATAATGATGACAGGAAGGCAGCATGCAATATGGAGGAAGTCAGCCCAACATGACCAAAGCAAAGGGAATTACTGAAAGGAATTGGAGACAATTCTGCAACAATATTATTAAACATTTTACAAATGGATACATAGGTAGACAGGTAAGCTAAAGATATATGGGAAAATATAAGGGAATCACCTGTATTTAGAAGTTTGTGGTTATTTCTACATACATAATTGTAATGTCTATATGTTTATTAATATAGAGAGTAAAGCACAAAAGGGGCATAATCAGGGGAACTTCTCAAATATAACCATATACTTCACAAGATTAAGTTACTATACAGATAAGAGCTCGCGACTCATGGAATTTAGCACAGATAAACCTCAGGAACAGTAATGGGAGTAGCAATATGAGGGTAAGGGAATGGCCGGGGAGGGGAAGGGTGAGAAAGGAGGAACCCATTACAAGATTGGATATAGAGCTGCCCCACACCCCTAGGGGACAAATAACAGAAATGTGGATAAAGGAAGATAATGGACAGTGCAAGATATGAAATAAAATAACAATGTATAATTACTCAAGGATACACGAGGGTAGGAGGAGGAAAAAGGGAAGTTTATACCAAGGTTTCAAATAGAAAATGTTTTGGAAATGAAGATGGCAACATATGTACAAATGTGCTTGATACCGTTGATGTATGGAATGTCATAAGAGCTGTAAGAGCCCCTTATAAAATGATTTTTAAAAGATTAAGTTACTAGACCAGTGGTTCTCAACCTTCCTAATGCTGCGACCTTCTAATACAGTTTCTCATGTGTGGTGACCCCCATCCATAAAATTATTCTCATTGCTCCTTCACAACTGTAATTTTGCTACTGTTATGATTGGGGGGGACCCCTATGAAAGGGTCGTTTGACCTCCAAAGGGGTCAAGGCCCACAGGTTGAGAACCACTGTACTATACTCAAAGGCAGAAACCCTAGTCTCTACGTTAATTATATCTACGTTAATTAGAACACCATACTTCATAAAGACAGTGTTCTGTGTCCCACTTTGGTTAGTCGTGTCTGGAGTCTTAAAAGTTTGCAAGGTGCCATCTGAGAGACAACTATGCATTTCTTGACATGGAAAAAAAGAACAGGAAGAAAATCAAATACTCAAGAGAGCAATTAGTTTAAGGACTAAATCAACCACTTGAACCACAGCCTATATGATCCCAAGACCAGAAAAACTAGATGGTGCCCAGCTACCACAACCAGCCTTTTGGACTAGGAGCATGAAAGAGGAACCTGGACAGAGCAGGAGAAAGAACACAAAGTCAGATTTATAAAAACAGACTTGATGGTCTGATAAGAGACTGGAGGAACCTTCCAGTATGTCCCTAAGACCTTTCTGTCATTGGAACTGAAGCCATTTCATTACAGAGCCTACCTGTCAGCCAAGTAGTAGATAAGCACAACATCTGAGAGGACCATGTTCCTTACAACAGTCAGTTATATGATATCAAAAGGTCAATATTTCCCCAAAAGCACAGATGAGAGGCAGGAATAGATTTTTTAAATGTACAAAATGGACAAGGAACCCGGGGCAGAAGTGGGGATAGGGATAGTGCGGAATGTCATAAAAAATTTCGTAAACTATTCCATGGGAAACTGATTTCGTCTGAATTTTCACCCAAAGCAAATGAAAAAAAACCAGCAACTCAGGGCACACCCCCACCATTTACTTGAACAGATGATTTTGATGCATGCTCAACGTTTTTAACTACTGTTTCTTGACACGATAGAGCTGTGAAAGCACGGGGGACTCTCTGATTGCTTGTGAGGGAGACTGCTGCAAACACTTTCACCTGGAGTGCCTGGGACTGACATCACCACCTGAAGGAAAATTCATCTGCGTGGAATGTAAAACTGGTAAGTTTTCTTATTTTGATAGATAGGAAAAGATGCTCAGGGAGGAACATGCAATGCCAACATTTTCCATGATGTGTAAGTCTCTTGTTGTTTGTATAGTATTTATACCCTCTCATAGCTTATTTCATACACGCCTTGGTGGCATAGTGGTTCACTTACACTCTCAGCTGCTAATGGAAAGGTTGGTGGTTTGAACCCATCAGCTGCTGTGCAGAGAAGGTTGTGGCAATCAACTCCCATAAAGATTTACAGCCTTGAAAACCCTACTGGGGAATTCTGCTCCATCTTAGAGAGTTGCTACGAGTCTGAGTCAACTTGACAGTAATAGGTTTCGTTTTGTGTTTTGGCTTATTTCAATAAGTCAGGACCCAGTCAGTATTTAAAGAAACTTCCCAAATAACATAAGCGTAATTAGTAGTATTACTGTACCAATGCCTTTACCATAAAACAGCAATTCATTGAGATGGATATGTTCCATCTCTAAAAGGTTACATGATCTTAAAAGTTAACATAAATTGTATTAACAGAGTTGTTTCTCACCTGAAAAATATGGGTGCTCAATAAATTAGTCCTTTAAACTTAAGTGAACTAATATATTTAGTGGAAAGATGAAACTAGTGAGGATGGATTTTTTTTTAACTTGAAACCAAACATAGACTACCACTTATTGAAATAATGTTTAAGAACTGTAAGTTTATATTTATTTTCAATATAAGAGACCTGAGATAAAATCAATGGCAAGCAGGAAGTACAGTTGTTTAGTTTGTAACAGAACAAATTAAAAAAAACTAGAGATGGCATTGTAATGCTTTTAGGAATCATATTTGGGGGTTTTATTTGATTTTTAGCTATGATAGAATTGGATATCAGGTATATGGTTCTTTTGTAAATCTTGACTTATGTTAAAAAAAAAACCTTAAGTTATATGACTTATGTTATATGATCCTTATAACATTATGAGATATAGGTACTATTATTATTTCCATTTTACAGAGGTAAAACAGTATTAGGAAGTGTAATACTTTGCCCAAAGGTGCAAAGATAGTAGCATATGTTGAAACTGTGATTTAAACCCAGGCAGCTCAGTTCTAGAGTCCTTGCTCTTCACTGTTGCCTTCTGCTTGCCTAAGTAATACGGAGCTCATATAGCATACTCTGCTAAACACCCACACAGCAACTACAAAAATTAAGCTGTCAAAGCTGTTTACAACACAGACCATAGATCATATTTTTCCTGTATCAAATTTTACTCATCACATTTGGACACTGCAGTGAAACTTTTAAATAGCTTGTCAAGTATCTGCAAATTGTTTTATTCAACCCTCAATGTGCTTTGAATTTTTAAACATGGCGTGCCACATCATCTTAGTTCTCCGTATTCCCTGTCATTTGCTTTTCTAAAACCCAGGCATCCCTGTCCTTTATGTAACCTGCCTAGACCCTTTAAGCACTTGAAGATTGCAAATTATGGTTTAAACTGTTGATAGGACTGCATTTGTCAATATTAAAACATTCGTGGGCTTTCTTCCAACATCACTGCAGTAGAATTCTGTCAACAAAAATTACATATAATCTATTAGGAAATTTAAGAAGGAAGTTCAGTTTAAAAACAATGTTATGACATGTAATTTCTGTAAAGAACATTCTCATTTGTTAAAACACTGCACAACACACAAAAAAACTATTCCTTGTATTTTTTCCTTCATATTTTTTTCAGACATTGGAAGAAAAAATAAGCAAAAGATGTGAACACTTCTCAAAAGATGATAATTAAATGACCAATAAATATGTGATTAGGCTGTTGTTATAACTTGCAGTTCTTTGCCATTTTATATATAGATATAAATATAATTTTTTTAATAAATCATTTTATTAGGGGCTCATACAACTCTTATCACAATCCATACATACATCAATTGTGTAAAGCGCATTTGTACATTCATTGCCTTCATCATTCTCAAAACATTTTCTCTCCACTTAAACCCCCGGCATTAGGTCCTCATTTTTCCCCTCCCTCCCCGCTTCCTCCTCCCTCATGAACCCTTGATAGTTTATAAATTGTTATTTTGTCATATCTTGCCCTGTCCAACGTCTCCCTTCACCCACTTTTCTGTTGTCTGTCCCCCAGGGAGGAGGTCACATATAGTTCCTTGAAATCGGTTCCCTCTTTCCAACCCACTCTCCCTCTACCCTCCCAGTATCACCATTCACACCACTGGTCCTGTAGGGCTCATCCGTCCTTGATTCCCTGTATTTTCAGTTCCTATCTGTACCAGTGTACATCCTCTGGTCTAGCCAGACTTGCAAGGTCGAATTCGAGTCATGGTAGTGGGAGCGAGGAGGAAACATTTAGGAACTAGAGGAAAGTTGTATTTTTCATCATTGTTACATCGCCCCCTGACTGGCTCATCTCCCCGAGACCCCTCTGCAAGGGGATCTCCTGTGGCCTACTAATGGGCTTTGGGTCTCCACTCCACACTCCTCCCCCCATCATTCACTATGGTAAGATTTTTTGTTCTGATGATGCCTTATACCTCATCCCGTCGACACCTCGTGGTTGCATAGGCTGGTGTGCTTCTTCCATGTGGGCTTTGTTGCTTCTGAGCTTGATGGTCGCTTGATTACCTTCAAGCCTTTAAGACCCCAGATGCTATACTTTTTGATAGCCGGGCACCATCAGCTTTCTTTGCCACATTTGCTATGCACCCATTTGTCTTCAGTGATCCGTTTGACACCTCGTGTTATTTAAATTTTTATCGATTCTTGTGAGTTGTCGGTTAATGTCTTCTTGCCCTTTATGCTTTAGGGTATATATTGCTTTCTTACCTTTTTAGCATTTATGTCTAATTACACAAGAAAATAATGTATAAATAAACATTATAAAAGTATTAAAATTAAGTCATCTTTGATTATCATTCTGAATCCTAGGCCCCTGCTTAACTTCAGTCCTCATCAGAGGTAATCTTTGTTACTAGCTTACTGTGTAAGCCTGTAAACCTCTCTCCCCCACCTTCTCTCCCTGCTTATCTATATAGCCTTTGTGTGTATGTCTATATAACAACACACAACATCTTGTGTGTTATAATAAAAATGTCTTGTTGGGAGGCTTTTTTTTTTTTTTTACTACTTTGCTTGGAGTTCTTTTTATCTTAGTATATAGATACATTGTATTGAATTGCTAAATAATATTCCATAATATAAGGAACCCTGTTTAGTGGCTGCAAACCCAATGGACGACAGTTCCAAAGTACCAGCAGCTCCTTGGGAGAAAGACTGGGCTTTCTACTCCCATAAACAGTTACAATCTCAGAAACCCACAGGGAGTTGCTATGATCAACATTGTCTCAATGGAAGATTTCATAAGTTTAGTGTGTTTAACTCCTCCTGTATTGAAAGATGTTTGAGTTGCTTTCATTTTTCTGCAATTACAAACAATGCGTCAATGAACTTCATTTTATATGGATCAAACTAATGCAGAAAGAAGCATTCTTAGGTCACAGGAAGTGGATATACTTTTATTTAAATGAATATCTTAGGAAGTAGATAGCATAGTAGAACCTCGGACCTCGATGCTAATTTGTTCTAGAAGGAGCGTTGAGATACCATGCAGTCGAGTTCCAAATCAATTTTTCCCATAAGAAATTACCGAAAACGGATTAACCTATTCCCAACCACCAAGTTTTTACCCTAACCTTGCCTTTTTATACAAAACATTACACAGAAATTTCAAAGTAAATAAGTTCAGAGTTAAATAATGTAATTTAAAGAAGAAACACAACATTAAAAAAGTTTTTAACAACTACAGTATGGCCCATATGTTGAGATCCATGAGGATCTGGATCTGTGGACAAGATGTAGAGAGGAGGTGTGGAGAGAGTCATTGTTTGGAAGGGGAATCCCCAATGAGTAGCTGCCTTTCAGGAGTTTTTTCCCTTCTTTGCCTTTTTGCACGGACTGGGCTGGCTTTCTCTTTTAAAAAACTTAAAAAGTGGGTGAAGGGAGATGTTGGACAGGGCAAGATATGACAAAATAACAATTTATAAATTATCAAGGGCTCATGAGGGAGGGGGGAACGGAGAGGGAGGGGAAAAATGAGGACCTAATGCTGGGGACTTAAGTGGAGAGGAAATGTTTTGGCAATGAATGTACAAATGCGCTTGACACAATTGATGTATGTATGGATTGTGATAAGAGTTGTATGAGCCCCTAATAAAATGATTTAAAAAAAAAACTAAAACAAAAACCTGTCTAATGTGATCTGCTGTTTTCCTTAACTGTTTTCTAAAAGGGTTTACTAAATTATCATCAGCAATATCGATAACACCAGTTAACCAGTTCCTTATGATGATTCTTTGTAAAAAACTCTTTCTTAGGACCCATATTTTTATCTAAAAACAGTACATAAAGCCACAAAAACTGAGAAAATTATAGCAAAACGCTTAGAACACAGCTGCAAAAGGTTTAAACAACGCGTACTAACCACGCCAATTAACGCTCAGTGATCAAAACACGAACTGCTTTCGTTTATAAAAATCACATGCCTCGGGTCGACTTCCGATGTTTGTTCGTGCTCCGATGCTTGTTCGTGCTCCGATGCAAAAATTTCCTCGTCATTTCGCGTTAAAATCCGATTATGTCGAGTACTGATGTGGTCGAGTTAGGTTCTACTACATCCTTATCAAATACTGGTAATTTCAAACTTTAATTTATTTCTTATTTGATGAATATGTAAATCACTGTTTTTCCAAAGTGGGTAATACCACCCCGTGGGGCCAGAGGGGCTGGTGGACTGGTGCTGGGCCAGTCCACCCGGGTCTGCAGAAGCAGATAGCCTCTCTTTATTCTGTATTATGGCCTATAGGACAAAAGATTTTCATTGCCAGGCAAGCACTGAGTAACTTTTTTTTTCTTCCAGAAAAGCGTCAAATAATTTTAGGAGCCTAAGTCGTAAATAATACTTACTGTTTTAAATTACATTTGTCTTATTAGTAATGAAGTTGTGCTTTTCCCCCACCCCCCTAATTATTTATTGGCTTTCTCTTTCTGCTTTCTCTGAGTTCATAACAGTTGTGCATTTTTATATTAAGCTATTTAGTCTTATGTGTTGATTTCATTTTTAATGTATGTCTTCGTTAATTAGCTGTAGATGTTACTTGTATTTTCTCCACATGTGAACTTTTTACATAGCAGAACATAACCTTTGGTCATCTGTTGCATATATTTTCCCATGTTTGTCTTCTATTTGTTCCTTCTATTTCTATTGACATTATTTTTTCCTTTAAAGGTTTGGCAGAATTCACCTGTGGAGCGATAATATCAGACCTAAAGTTTTCCTTGTTGAAAGGCTTTTAATTAAAGTTTCAATTTCTTTACCAGTTTCAAGAACTATTAATTTTCCTTGTTAAGTTGTATTTCTAGGAGACTCTTCATCTAAATTTGAAGATTAATGGCCAAAATTCATCTTGGAATTTTTTTTATTAGCTTTTTAATGTTTTTAGGACTTGTAGTGGTGTCCTATTTTTCATTTCTAATATTTATATTTTGTGATTTTTCTCCCTCCTTTTAAAAATTCATTCCTCTTAACCAGGGATATGGAGTTCCTGAGTAGCACAAATGGTAAATAATTAAGTGCTCAACCAGTAGCCAAAGATTGGCAATTCGAATCCACCCAGGTGCACCTCAAGATAGGCCTAGTAATCTGCTTCTGCAGGTGACACTCTCGAAAGCCCAATTGAACAGTTGTACTCTGACTTATGTAGGGTCACTGGCAGTAGAAACTGAGTCAACAGCTAACAACAACCAGGAATCGCCGTTTCATTAATCTTTTTTCAAAGATGAATATATGTTGATGTCACTTCATTCTTGAGGACTGTTTTCACTGAGTAATTTTTAACTTGACCATTATTTCCTTGCAATCCTTTGAAGTAACATTCTATTTTATTTTCTGGCTTCCGTTTTTCTCTTACAGTCTTAATGTTTCTTTTAAGTTTATAGTCTGTTTTTCCTCAGTTAAAATATTCCTATTAGATTAATGTATCTTTTTACTGGGACTATGAGTTTTCAATGTGTCTTTTACTTAGAGAAATTATAAATGATTATCTAAAAGAATCTGGTTTTTTGTTGATTTTATTATTATTATTATTTTTTTTTTTTTTACTTCTGTGTTGAGAAGACCTCTACATTCCTAGCTTACAGGTATTGAAAAATTCTGTTCTGGATTTTCTGTGAAATTCATTTTGGGGTAGCCTAAGAAGTAGAGATTGAAAAAAAAAAACAGAAAAAGAAAAAAAAGTAGTTTGGAATAGTTTTCAGTGTTGTATATCCAAACTGATTATCGATTGTTCTAGCAAAATTTATGAAATAAGTTTTTCATCTGGCTACTTATTTTAGGTGCCCTCTTGTATGATGTTATTCTGTAAACTAGTAGAGTCTATTTGGGGTTAATAGCTTTTTAATCTCAGTAAATACTTTAATTTCAGAGAAATATGCTCTGACTAAATTTTATTTAATCTGTGTTCTTTACCAATTTTCCAGGGCAGCACCTCTGCTTTTCATGTCAAGGGTCTGGTACAGATGTGAAGCGTTGTTCTGTTAGTGCCTGTGGGAAATATTATCATGAAACCTGTGTCCGCAAATTCCCCACTGCTGTCTTTGAATCAAAAGGATTCCGTTGTCCCCAGCACTGCTGCTCTGCCTGCTTCATGGAGAAAGATATCCACAAAGCAAGCAAAGGTAAAAACAAGCTAAAGAACAAGACACAGATTATTTTCTTTTTATTTTCTTAATAAAATGTTAAGTACATTATTGTAAATAATATTGGACATTTTCCCTTTGTTTATCTGCACATATAACAGCTAAGCTATAATAGATAGCATGGTAAGCCAGGATTAGATTCTAGATTCAGACCCTAGGAGAACATTCAAAATTACTCTAGAAAATCCTTTAGGCAGTTGCCATGAGTGAGGCAGCTGTCTCTCTAGCACTGGAGCATACATATACACTTTTCTTTCGATGAGCGTGGCTCATACGTAGGGGCCATTATTGAATAGAAATGAGAGCTTACATCTGCATTAAAATAGAGCCATACTACGAAAGAAACATTTTTTTCCATAACATCTATAATTCAGTGCCATTGAAGATACTTTCTGTGCTATACAGGCAATATTGATATCCTTTTAAAAATTATTCCACTGCCATTAACATAAACTCAATGCCCCCCATTTAAAAATTTTTCTTTTCTTTTTAATCATTTTATTGGGGGCTCGTACAACTCTTATCACAATCCATACATACATCAGTCGTGTAAAGCACATTTGTACATTCATTGCCCTCATCATTCTCAAAATATTTGCTCTCCACTTAAGCCCCTGGCATCAG